TGGGATGGGGATGGGATGGGATGGGACAGGCACATGCGGGGAACAGGGATGTGCCGTGGCACTGGTGGTGTTTGGGGGGGGTCTGCCCACCCCCAGCACTCCCGTACCCCCCTTCTGCCCCGCAGTCGCTGCTCTACAAGAAGGTGAACGAGGCTCAGTACCGCAGCCACCTGGCCAACGAGATGATGATGTACCACATGAAGGTGAGGTGGCATGGGGACAGGCATGGGGACAAGGACTGGGACATGAGCTGGGACCCCCGCTGCCAGCGTGGCGCCCCCACACTCCACCCCACAGTGGTGGCACAGGGCGGTTGGCGGTGATGCTCTGGAGCTCTCTGCTCTCGCTGGGGCTGCCGTGGCTCAGGGGACAGCTTGGGGACACCTTGGGGACCTGGTCACAGCGTGGGTCGATGGCGATGGCTCCCGCCGGTGTCAGACGATGAGTACACCAAGCTGCTGAGTGAGGGCATCCAGCCCGTGTCGACCATCGACCCCAACTTCGCCAGCTTCACCTACACGCCGCGCTCGCTGCCCGAGGACGACACCTCCATGGTGAGGACCGTGGGGACAGTCCCCAAACTGTCCCTGTCCCCTGCCTGCTCTTGGTCAGGTCGTGTACCCCAACGCCGGGGCATTGTCACCCCCCGCTGCCACCACCCTTGTCCCCTCCGCAGGCCATCCTGAGCATGCTGCAAGACATGAACTTCATCAACAACTACAAGATGGACCGCCAGACGCTCACCAGGTGACTCCCCCCTCCCCCGTGCTCACCCGTGGGACCCCTCTTTGTCCCCAAGGTGAGGGGATGAGGAGGGGGATGCAAAGTCCCCCCCTCCTCATGGCCCTGTCCCCTCCCGCCGCCACCTTCCAGGTTCTGCCTGATGGTGAAGAAGGGCTACCCCCACCCCCCCTACCACAACTGGATGCACGCCTTCTCCGTCTCCCACTTCTGCTACCTGCTCTACAAGAACCTGGAGCTCGTCAACTACCTGGAGTAAGACCAGGCGCCGTCCCCGTCCCCGTCCCCATCCCCCGGCCCGGCCGGGGTCCTCCCTTGTCCCTTCCTGCCTGCCTCAGTTTCCCTCCTTCCTCCCTCCTCCTCCCAGAGACATCGAGATCTTTGCCCTCTTCATCTCCTGCATGTGCCACGACCTGGACCACAGAGGCACCAATAACTCCTTCCAGGTGGCCTCGGTGAGCCGAGCCCCGCGTTGGGATGCGTACAGGTCGGGGAGGGGGGGGGACGGGGGACAGGGACAGCGATGGCACTGGGGAAGGGGGC